TGACCTACAGTGCCTGCAGTGGTACTATCTCAAACCTGTTCATTTTGGCTACCTTGGCTACCTGAAGCTGGATTAAAGATTTATCACTTTCTTGTGGCTGAACACTGTTCTGATGATTTCTATGAATTATGGTATAAGCTATAATTAATCAGGCAGCTTAAGCTAAGTTTATTAACCTGGACATGATGTCAATTATGCTTGTAATCTCTGTAAAACTGTAGCAGAAAATAACAGATCAGTTTCTCTAAGGACTGGAGGCATTGGTGAGGAACAAGCAAAGTGGGCATTTGCTATCTCAGGGGTAACAGAGGTAGATCTGCCTTTTGTCTGTCTTCCTTTTTTTTCTGAAGCCTGTATCCTGAAGTCTTTTCACTCCAAAAAAGCTGCAGTGATTCACTGACCACTTGAAAAGAGGTTTTGATGTGTATATTCGGCAATCAGATGAAAACTTCAGAGAGATGAAACTACACTGTGGTATTTAACACTCTCCTGATAGACTCACTGGGAGTTTCTTACAGTTAGAGAGAACAGAATCACCTCTGGTGGTAACCAAGTTGGGACTGCTCCTTGTAGAACAAGGCACTGTGACCTGGAGTAATGAACATGTCCTGGGCTGCGTTTTCCCTTGTTTGGAAAAATATTTAATTTTCCACATCAGAAACTTGTTTGTGTAGTAGCCTGCTATTAAATCCTTTTCTACTAAGGGCTGAATACCTCTGAAATCAGTCAAGTGCCAAAGCTGTTATGTCCCCTGGATCACCACCAATGGCTCACAAGGTACACTAATAAATGGATTATACTGTGACTGTGTGGGGCTCTGTCTTATTTTTAATAAAGGAATCTGTTCCAAGGGCAGATTTTAGGTTTTTTTCCAGCAATGAGTTAATTAAATTTTTTTATTAACATTATTTTTTACAAGTCTGCCAAATGTCATTTTGTATTAAAGCACTTGACCACTGCCTTCCTATGGTGAAAAGGCTGGGGATGAATGTATGGCATGAGCTTACTTGTTTCAGATGGGCTACTCTTAAGACATTTTTGGATTTTGAAACTGAAATATGATTGAGGAGAAAGCTGAGCTTTACTTCATGTTGTTTTCTAACTAGGACAGCTACCATATTCATTGAGAGAGAGGAAGAAGGGCATTCAGGTACCACCGTTCATATAAAAAATTCTTTCTTGGGTACAGTTTCCTCTTTCTAGTGGAAGGAGACAGGATACTGTTCAAATTGCCTTGGTTTGCTGGGCTGAGTCCTGTGCTGCTCTTACACTGGCCTTTTTAGAATGGGTTCCTGGCATTGGTAGGGGTTTCTATGGAATTCTGTTCATGTGCAAAAGGGAAAAGAGGAAGCAGAGCCAGCAAAATATGGATGGTCCAGCTGGAGTAATTTATGTTTAAAAAAACCTTTGGATTTAAGATGTGCTGGTAGAGGACAGGTGTAGGACAGACAAATTCAAACAAATTGGTGAAACCCCAGTGAACCACTTGATCTTCTCCTCCCTGCTTTTCAAATCTCACGCATTCTGCCAGAAATAAAAGGCACTGTTCTCTTTGCAGATTTACAAAACTAGCCTGTCACCTGAAAGGAAGAACCAGCTTCTTTGGATCAGCTTTACTAATGAGAGGCTGTGTTGCTCTGTCAGCTAAGCACAAGGCCTTGTTTCTCCTATCCCTTTGTATCTGCAGTGGCTTTCATGCACACATCAGGGCAGCTGAGGCTCAGATGGGAGCAGGGGGAACTCACTGCTGTTCAGTTGCTGCCCAACAGAAGAAACAAGCTGCCAGGAACTGCCACTTCTGTCACTTTCTTCTTGGAAACAGGACAGAACCACTTCAAACAATAAAACCCCGTTCTTTGCAATTTAACTAATCTACTCTGTGCAAACCAGAGCTGTATGAGAAGAACATGTGCTTCTAAAGGTTAGTTCCTTGCTCTTTTTCTCCCTCCCCACTCACACGTACAGGCTTGCTGCAGGTAAAGTAGGATTATAACCTCTGATTGCGGGAATCTAAAACCAAACATACCAAAGGAAAACTCCTTTGCTTCAGGTTTACTATTTTGTTATCTCTTGCAAGACTAAGAAGCAGATTCTGTTATTCAGCACAATTATACTGAAGTCTCAACAGAAAGCCTTTTAACTCCCCACATGCTTAAGCCACAGCTAGGTTAATTAAGACTTGAGAAATCTTTACTTTCCTGCAAGGCTTCAAGTTAGATGGGTTTAACAATTTGGTTGAACTGATGCAACTTTGTGGTTGAAACTTAGGGATGATGCTCTATTTTAATCAGATGCCTCTGTTTAGATGATTCAGGAGTGACCACACACAAGATTCCTGAAGAAATAAGCAAAGAGCATGCCACTAAACTCCTACTGCTATTATATTTAGCCATCTGAAATAAATACAGTTTGCTAAATTTAACACTAAAGGTGATGGCAGAATTACACAAATTTAGTTACCTTCCCCCAAGAAGGTATGTGAAATAATTATATTGAGGAATGCATTAAAGTTTTGGATAGGAAGTTTTATAGGATCCTGTCACAGCACTTTGCAGGAACATGGCTGAAAATGAAGATCTGACTAAAATAGCTGGTAGCCTTTGAGGCAGTGCACAAAACAGCCACAGTACCTGCTAAGGGTTGGTCACCTGCCTAGAGAAGAGAGATGAAAATAGAAGCAGCAGATTTAATCTGAGAATCTCTAAGTCTCATAAAGGAGGATCCTGTTGAGAGAGCTTGCCTCCAGGGATATGAGATCTGCAGGCAGAATAGGTGAACACTCTTTACCAATAAGCATTCAGATAATTTTAAGGCTTGACTGATTTTACAGAGTACTGTGCAATAAATCCTACTTGCTCAAGTCAACAGATCTAGGGAATTTTTTTCCCCCCTCACTTATTACAGAAAAAGAAAAGTGACTGAGGTGTTTTCTCTGTATCTAGCAGTCCAGGTAGTTTTCAGTCATTATGACATAACACCATGGCATCATATCTTTGTTAGTGCCTCCTCTATCTTATACAAAAGAGGCCAGTTAAATATATGGAACTGGAACAGCACTGACCCTTAGCCACACCCATGGGCGCAAAACTTGTCAGGTGTGTTTTCTTAAACGAAGCGTTGCTGCGTGGTTGTAGCAACCACAGTATTTGTAAGAGAGAAGCTTATCTTAGATTGACAATTTAATTGATGATTGAACTTCCCATTGGGATCTGATGAGAGGTAGCATGAACTCAATTTTTAAAATAAAAACTCTCACATCCGTAACTCCATGGTTAGATTATTTTTGTAGGGGAAGGCTGTAGAGAATACATACCATTTTACTGTCTATAATATTGTACACAGTTGTTCTTGCATTTTAGAATTACCTTTTCTTAGCAATCTTTCATCCCTATGCTTAAGTACTAATGTACCTGTTATTTATATTTTGAAAGACTTTACTGCTAAGAAGCAGCAATAGTGCAAATTTTGGTATGGTGAGTTTCATCTGAAGGAGCAGGTTCCATAGCATGGGGAAAGCTTCTGCTCCTGAAGGTATGAGAAGCACTTAAATACAGCAGAGCATTACTTCACTTAGCCAAGATGTGCTTGCATACATTGCAGAGCAGTACATGTGGCCTTGACATGAACAAATGGGCTTCCTATATTCCCCAACAGTTATCCTTCACTTACCAGCTGACTGCCCCTCAGACACAAATAAAGAAACCTTTCTTCTGCAGCAAAGGTGTTTTAAGGGTCAGCTATTGCAGCACTTATTTTTAATTACCAGTTTTGATTTCTAAAATTGTAGATTGCTAGAGAAGGAGTCTCACATTTATCAATTTTCCTTGATTATTTTTTGGTGAACTGAAAATAAGCCAAGAATTATGTTTTGCCTGCATCAAAAGAGTAATCTTGGAGTACTTTCAATGGTATAACATTGCTAGTTAGGGTAATACACTCTCTAGACAAAGTGAGTTATCAATTGCTGAGTTTCCATAAAGGACGTATCTAACCTGCTCTCTGGACAAAGGAGAGAGCTATTTTACTGCTTTCACAATCTTTTCACACTGGCTAAGGAAACGTCCAAATGTGATACTGACAGAAAAAAGAGGACTTGCAGTGTTAATAGTTGTTTTCTTCCCCTCTGCAAAATGGAGAACATTTCAGTTCCCTTTAGCTTGGTGCTTCTATCTGTGAATGCATAGTGCATATTAGACCCTGCCAGACTGTCAGCTTTGGTAATGGCAGAAGTGTGAAAACAAAAACAAATGCTCCTGCAGGTTAGTGTGAAAGGAAGAGGAAAATATATTTGTATCCTGTGAAATACAAGATGCCAGACAACATATGCCCAGTAATCCTTGCAGGCAATATTATCTGTAAATGCCATCTTCTCTTTCTGAAGACTAGCAGTTACGTTCCTACATGAGGTCTTAGCCATAATTGTTGTCTCCTGCTGTATAACAGCAATTTTAGCAGCTGTTGCACAGTGTTTCCCTACTGACTCTATTATCCATGTGTGTATGTATGTACGTACCAGTCGCTTATCACACAAATGGTGAATTTAGTTTTGAATAAGGCTTTTCTCAGGTATGTGTTCATATTCTCCAAGATCTCAGAGACAGCACCTCGGACAACATCAGTTTAAAGTCTTCTGTGGCAAGGATTAGTCAAAGATTGGAAAATGCTTAATCCAAATGGGGGAAATTGAGTTTGCAATACCTCAGAACAGCTTTAAAAATCCTCTTCAGACCCTTCCCAAAATCCCCAGAATTCTCCACAAAATCCCCCCAAGCCCCCTCCCATTCTGAGGCAATTAAGGGGGGCGGGGTCTGGTGATGCCCCTCCCCCTCTTTGAGGTGGCCCCGCCCTCTTTCCCATGTCCCCACCCCTCCCCCCCAATTCTGAACCCCTCCCTCCAATTTCAGGCCCCTCCCCCTCCCTGTCCCCTCAGTGTTCATGCTGTCCCCTCCATGCTGTCCCTGTCCCCTTGGTGTCCCCGCTGTCCCCTCAGTGTCCCCACCATGTCACCCCTGTCCCCACAGGGTCCCAACCGCGTGCTGTCGGAGCGGCGCTTGGAGCAGCGGCGCCTGCTCAGCACCATTGGCTCAGCCACGCTGCTGGACAGCGACCTGCTCAAGCTCAACCAGCTCAAGGTGGGGCCTCGGGTCACCCCTGGTATCACCATGTCCCTGTGTCCCATCCCCACCCCGGTGACACATCCCCCTGTCCCCACTGGTGTCACCCCTGGTATCACCATGTCCCTGCGTCCCATCCCCACCCCGGTGACACATCCCCCTGTCCCTGTGTCCCCTGTGTTGTCCCCACCCTTGGTGACACATCCCTGTGTCCCCATGTCCCCATGTCCTGGTGTCCCATCCCCACCCTGGCGACACATCCCCATGTCCCCTCCTTGTGCTGTCTCCACGTGTTGTCCCCACCCCTGGTGACCTGTCCCCCTGTCCCCGTGTGCTGTCCTCACCCTGGTGACACATCCCTGTGTACCTGTGTCCCATCCCCATCCTGGTGACCTGTCCCCATGTCCCCATGTGCTGTCCCCTTGTCCCCACCCCAGTCACCTGTCCCCATGTCCCATCCTCATCCTGGTGACACATCCCTGTGTCCCCCTGTCCTGGTGTCCCCACCCTGGTGACATGTCCCCATGTCCCACCCTGGTGACACATCCCTGTCCCTATGTCCCATCCTCACCCTGGTGATACATCCGTGTCCCCATGTCCCATCCCCACCCCAGTGACCTGTCCCCCTGTCCCCGTGTCCCACCCTGGTGACACATTCCTGTGTCCCCATGTCCCCCTGTCTCCATGTCCCGGTGTCCCCACCCCAGTGACCTATCCCACTGTCCCACCCTGGTGACACATCCCTGTGTCCCCATGTCCCCCTATCCCAGTGTCCCCACCTCGGTGACCTGTTCCCCTGTGCCACCCTGGTGACACATCCGTGTCCCCACAGTTCCGGAAGAAGCGGCTCCGCTTCGGCCGCAGCCGCATCCACGAGTGGGGCCCTTTTCGCCATGGAGCCGATCGCGGCCGACGAGATGGTGATCGAGTACATGGGGCAGAACATCCTGCAGGTGTGTGTCCCCTTGGTGTCACCCAGTCTCCCCTTGGTGTCCCCAAACCGCCCCGGTGTCCCCAAATGAGACATTGGTCATCGAGTATGTGGGGCAGAACATCCGGCAGGTGCGTGTCACCTCGGTGTCCCCTCAGTGTCACCCAGTGTCCCCTGAGCCCCACGGCGTCCCCAAATGAGACATTGGTCATTGAGTACGTGGGGCAGAACATCCGGCAGGTACGTGTCACCCAGTGTCCCCTCGGTGTCCCTAGAGCCCCCCAGTGTCCTCTCAATGTGCCCATGGTGTCCCCAGGTGGTGGCTGACCTGCGTGAGAAGCGCTACTCCCAGGAGGACATCGGCAGCAGTTACCTGTTCCGTTTGGTGTCCCCAGAGCCCCCCAGGGTGCCCCCAAACCCCCCCAGTGTCCCCGTGGTGTCCCCAATGTCCCCTCAGTGTCCCCAGGCGGTGGCGGACATGCGTGAGAAGCGCTACGCCCAGGAGGGCGTTGGCAGCAGTTACCTGTTCCGCGTGGGCCATGACACCATCATCGACGCCACCAAGTGGCCCCCCAGTGTCCCCGTGGTGTCCCCAATGTCCCCTCAGTGTCCCCAGGTGGTGGCGGACATGCGTGAGAAGTGCTACGCCCAGGAGGGCATTGGCAGCAGTTACCTGTTCCGCGTAGGCCATGACACCATCATCGACGCCACCAAGTGCGGCAACCTGGCGCGCTTCATCAAGCACTGCTGCACGGTGAGCAAACCGGGCGTAAACCGGGCTTAAACTGGGCTAAACCAGGGCTAAACTGGGGCTAAACCAGGGCAAAACGAGGCTAAACGAGGCTAAACCAGGTTCAATGGCGTTAGTTATCATTCATCAACCACTGCTGCACGGTGAGGGTACCTGGAGGGGTTTTAGGGCATTGCAGAATTTCTCAGGGTAGCTGGAGGGGTTTTTTAGGTCTGGATGATTTCTGAGGGTACCTGAAGGGGTTTTAGGGCAATGGGGCATTTCTGAGGGTACCTGGAGGGGTGTTTTAGGACCAGGCTGTTTCTGGGGCTTGGGGTGACCCCGCTGTGCCTCCCCAGCCCAACTGCTACGCCAAGGTGATCACCATCGAGGCGCAGAAGAAGATTGTCATCTACTCCAAGCAGCCCATCAGTGTCAACGAGGAGATCATCCAAGACTACAAGTTCCCCATCGAGGACACCAAGATCTCATGCCTGTGCCGCACTGAGAGCTGCCGCTGCACCCTCAACTAGCCCAGTCTGCCCGGCAATGGCCCAGCTATGGCCCAAACTGGCCCAACCGGGGCTGGCTGCTGGCCCGGGCTGGGGCTGGGCACCAGGGGCGGTTTGGGGTGGCCACCATTGGGGTTTGGCCGCCAGGGTCAGTGGTTAGGTGGCACAGTTTGGCCTTCTGTCACACTTTGGCCACCAGAGTTGACTTTTGGCCACTGTTTGGCTGCCACCATTGACCTTCAATCACTGTGGTTGGCCAATGAGCTTTGGCACTGCCTCAGACTCGTTTTTTGGGGGGGGAATTTGGGGGTTTTGGGGGGTGGGGAAGGATTTGGGGGATTCTGAGGGGTTCCTCAGGGGAATTCGAGCATTTTTAGCCTTGTGGTGGTTTTGGGGGTGGCCCATGGGGCTCTCGGGGATGTGTGAAGGATTTTGGGGGGCTTTGAGGGATTTTAGGGGGTTTTGGGGTCCTGCATTTGTGAAATGCAGCCCAGAGCAGCTGCAGGCTGCTGGAACTTGGGGTTTGGGGTGGTGAGCACAGCCCAGCCTGTCCAGTCCAGACTGTGGAATTCCCAGGGTTTGTTTTTCCAGGATAATGCCAGGAATGCTGCAGAGAGGCTCTCTCCCAGGCAGGGAGGACTTTGGTACCTGTCAGGTACCTGTCAGACAGGGCAGGTACCTGT